CTGAAGAGGCACACACCACTAACTCGTGAAGGCAGCAAAAAGGCAGCGAGTTGGGGAACACCATTCATAGAATCTGTTATTATCAAGACAAACCAGGGAACACAGTCGAGTTTGCATGGTTGCCTGTTAAAAATATCAGCATTTTCCCTATAACATGACAACACTTGATCTGAGATCACTGATAGAAAACACAGATCTGGAAACCTATTATGGCATTTTTATAGCCCCTCCCAACAATACAGGTATCCCTTATACAAGTTTTAGGAAAAAAGACTGTGTGACAGACCGGAACCAGGACTGCATATACTAGGATAAAAATATGAATTTTGAAAACCCACAGTGGTATTCTAAATGCTAAAGAGAAGTGGAGTTACTCATGGTTTAACAAAACCCACACTACTAACTTTCTTGGACCACAAATCAATAAAAAAGTACATATGCAGCTCACTGGGTAAGACTCAATTCAGAGAAAAGCAATTAAGACTGATACCCTGGAAAACTCAGGAACATGTCAATTAGCCAAGAAATGGCCTAGCAATGTCTCTGCTATGAATTACCAGAAGACCAGCTTGAGGCTCTTGGGGGACCTTATAGCAACCTTCCAGTACCTGAGAGGGGCCTACAAGAAAGCAGGGGAGGGACTGTTCACAAGGGTTTGGAGTGACAGGACAAGGGGTAATGTGTTTAAGCTAGATAAGGGTAGATTTAGGTTAGATGTTAGGAAAAAATTCTTCAGTATGAGGGTGATAGGTCCCTGGAATAGGTTGCCCAGACAAGTGGTGGAGGCCCCATCCCTGGAGACATTCAAGATTAGGCTAGATGAAGCTTTGAGTAGCTTGATCTAGTTGGAGATATCCCTGCTTATTGCAGGGGGGTTGGACTAGATGAATTTTGGAGGTCCCCTTCCAGCCCAGACTATGATTCTATGACCCTCAGGCCTATTGGTTTGTGGGCTGACATAAAACACAGTTAAAACAGATAAACTTTTCAAAAAATAAGCTTCTCAACCTTCTTTCAAACTGTGGAATGGCTCAGCTATTTCTAAATGCCACTGAATCAAATCCAGTGAAACTTCTAAAAAGACATTGTGACAGTAACCTTCACAGCCACATCCTGAGTGTGTTTTGCTTTTCTTTTTTCCTCTAAACAACGCTTGATCGCACTGTCTGGCCAAACATTAATCAGCTTTCACCAAGTACCAAAGTAATGCCTGCTGCATTAATCCACTACAAATCCTCAAGGTGTAAGTTACACACAATTTAGTATAAAAGGTAAGCACAGGGCTTTCTCTTCACTACAGCTACTACCAGGACAGCAAGTAGAATACAGGTAAGTTCTCATCAGATCCTGATCTAGAAATCTTTTTTCACTGTATGTAACTAATTGCTTCTGAAAAAATAGAAAATGAAGTAGAGAAAGAGCAAATGATAATCTTTCTCCATAAAGACAAGACACATTTTCTGTACAGTTGCTTAGGAAAATCAAATTCCTTTAACAATAAACATACAGATATATCTATTTAGTGGCTTTCTCCTATATTCTCACTGACGTTTCTGGAAGATATATAAAATATACACATATTATTTGCTTTATTCACAGGATGAAGACGCTTAATTGTTACATGCTTTTGTTTTGCTGGAAAGCAATTTGTTGCAATAGCTGTCAGCTCACTAATATTACTATAGCAGTGGAAAGAGAAGAATGTGAATTCTGTATTACAGTGAATGCTACATGGTGCTCAGGATACTGCTTCACAAGGGTGAGAATCTTAAGTTTATTTACAGGCACCAGAATTAAATATTCCAAGTGATGGATAAATAACCCATTTCTTCAGTCCATAATGAACACATATACAGAATGAGCCTTGTTAAAGAACAGGGTGAGTAACTGCTGAGATATTTGACAGGAAAGTAGATACACAGCCAGTCTGAACCACAAAGGGAAGGATGAAAGGATGTTAGTAAAATTCAGATCTTTAACTGGCTGTACACATTATATTTAGACAATATAACTACTTGAAATGGATCTGGATCTAAGTGTCGTGTTCAGTTTGTGGTTGAGAAGGGACACAATAAAGCAGCCATTACGATGCAGACTCCTATATTTTTCCAAATAATTTAAAGAACAAAGCATTTGACCTGCACGATTGTTTGGTGATTGTATGACACAGATTTGCCATATCATTCCTCCTGAAATGAGAAATCTAAGTATCTAGGTGAAATTAGACGAGTCTGATCCAAATCCTTTTGATCTCAGTGGGAATTTCCCACCGGCTTAATGGATTTTCATTGGGTCCTTTATTTTATAAAAATTTGTAATTCTACCCCATAACAAATTTTAAGCTGGGTATTTCCTTCTTGTAATTTTCAGGATCCAGTATATAAATACCCTCCAGTCTCATCTGTCCAGCAAACATGTACTTTCAAGGAGGTTGTGTATGAAACAGTGAAGATTCCTGGCTGTGGCGACCATCCTGAATCATTTTATTCTTACCCAGTAGCTACAGAGTGCCACTGTGAGACCTGTGACACTGACAGCACCGACTGCACTGTGAGGGGACTGGGGCCATCCTACTGTTCCTTCAGTCAGAATGGAAGCAACCAGTGAAGTGTACTTGAGACGGCAGTTTGGCTTTAAACACTCACTTATAAATAAAGATACTGATTGGGCTTAAGTACAACACAACAGGCAAGGCTATTTAGAAACTGCCAAGATTGCAACAAAGATTTTTAAGGCCAAAATGGAGAGCTACTGACTAAACTTCTCCTCAGGCCTTCCCTACTTAGCCCATCAGTTTCCTTTAAACTATTTCTATAGGTCTATAGAATGCTGCTTCCGATTCTTCTGCCCTTGCCTCCTCTTCTTTATTACACCCTCATTCTTTATATTCCTGTATTTCCACTGCTAAGTTCACTTAACTTATTCTATGCTATTCTATACTTTCAAAAAGTTCCCAAGTTCCAAGTATTTATTATCCCATCCCTCCTCAGAATGTACTTATTTTAAAAAAGCCTTGCAGCACTGGTTTTATTACAGCCAACATCTGTGCACTCACTTTCTATTTCAGACTGTAAACCTCTCTTAGCTGAGGTCCTGACTTCTTTTTGGCAAAATATTTCATATAGCCATTACGCTCTGTAAATAACAACAGCATGTTTATTTAAGAGCCAAAAATCTATGTTCAAATGTTGAATGTCACCTGAATTCTTGTGCAAGCTGGAGGACTGTATCAGAATGGAAAATTATCTCACATTATTGGGAAAATTATCTGAAACCTACACATTTTCCTACCAGGAAAATGAAAAGATACTGCTTTTCATGAGAAACAAGCACAGAATGGAGAGCAACTGGTTCACCAGCAGTTCAGCACAAAAGACTTGGAGGTTATACAAGCTAAGTAAGAGTCAGAAGTATCACCTCGCTGTGGAAAAGTGGGAACGTAAGGAGTAGAGCCTACAAGACACAAGCTACTTCCACCACTCAGTTCAACATGATATGGGCCTCAGCCAGGTTATTTCCAGCTCTGGTCAAAGAACTTCAAGCTGTTGAAAAATTGGAGCAAATCTACAGAAGAGTAAAAAGAATGGAGTGAGGCCTAGAAAACATCTTAGGAGAAAAAGACTTAAATAAATGTGGTTGTTTTGTTTATGGGAAGTAACAGGGGTGGAAATTAGTGGAACCTTTTGCATGCTTGAAGACTGTTACAAAGAGAAAAGGAACAGTCAGTTCTCCATGTTCATAGTGAACAGAACAACTAATGAAAGATTCAGAGTAGTCACTGGCAAATCTCCTGAAAGGTACAGAGAGCTAGACACTGAAATAAACCGCCAGGAGGTTGGGGAAGGTAGGAATGAAGGAAGAGAGTGGGGTCTGTGGAGTAGTAACCACTACGGGTCCCCATGAGCACATTGAAACTGTTAGGAATGACAGAGGTAAAGTTAATTTGCCACTGGGCAAGGGAACGAAGCAGATGACCTCTTGAGGTTGCCTGACATGTCTGCTTTTGAGACCCTTACAGACACGTTTATTTAAAGGGAATTTGTCTGCTCTGGATCTTTCTTATAATAGATAAAATATATTTTAACTTATTTTTAGCTTTTTTTTTTACTGAAAGATATTACTTCTCTTAATTTTATTTATAAGATTAATCTGCATGGACATACTCTTTGGTCTAGTGAAGTTTTAAAAGTGGTAAAGTAATAAGTAAATCAAATTGGATCTCACTCATTTCAGTTTTAAACATGAGTTGACTTCAATTAAAACTAAGCATATTATTCATAGCAGGAATTATTCCATTCTGGTTGAAAAAATTTTGAATTAAAACTGCAAAACAGAGTGGCTTGTAGTAAAAAATTATGGAAAAAGATATGTTTTCAAAATATATGTGTAAACACATATATTGTCTGTTATGCATTTTGGAATAATAGAAATAATTCTGTTGCAATCCTGTTACATATGTCTTAATAAACCAATTTAAAAACATAAGAGTCCACCCACTCACTTTACTGTGCTTTAAATTACGCTTTCTACCCCCACTATATTTTTTTTCATGCACTTCAAACACCTATCTGATCCATATTTGCATTATATGACCAAATCGCATCAAATAAAAGGCTGGCATATTTTAGCCTGATTCATTAATGTGATGATGAAATATTACATAGTTTTAAGACAACAGAACTATGGATGAGAATAAAGATAATTAATACCTTATGTAAACTATAGGAACTAGAACCTCTCCAGAGCTGTGTCTACATCCCTGCCACAAATTAGTTCGCATGTGAAAACAAAAATCATCCAGCTCTCATTTCATCCATCACTCCTTTTCACTTTGCAAATTAATTTATTCAGAACCTTAAAGCTAAAACTGTAACTAATGCAGTCAAAGAGTATTGAGGATGATATCAGAATGCTAGCAAAACAATCCTAATCATGCATCACTATAAGCCTCCAGAATCTCACTTTGAATCTCCCACACATTTTAGGCACCTGTGCTGAGGTAAATGCCAAGTCCTAGAGGCTCAAAGATGTAAAGAAAAAGGTGCCCTATGTCTAAGCACTAAACCTGGCCAAGCAAATTATAGTCTTTGGGAATATCTCTTCTGAACACTTTTCTCAACCCCTGTCCAGTAACTAGATATCAGCTCTACTCAAGTCTCTTCCATAACACTGGATTTTTCAAACATGGGTATATCAGGCACCAAAAGCTTTCTGTTTTTCAAAAGATCAGTGAGGAACAGCAAATAAATAATTTACTGAATTTATTTTCCTTTTCTAGTTGTGATAACACAAAAGGCTGAGGAAACATGTAAGTCACGCATGAAGTCTTGCTTGTTAACATCTGTGAGCTTTAAACACATCCCTCCGCTTATATAAAACTAGCATTGATATTCTCCTCTGAAGCAAAATCCATTCCAAATCACATAGATTTTTTAAGTTTGTGGAACAATTACTTGTTCTAGGGCCTGATGGCAAATATTTCACTGTCAGTTGTTACACTGACAGAAATTCAGAAATTCTTACAGAAACCTGGCCTGACTTGAAGATACCTTACACTACCTTTGATAGTTTGTAAGACAGACTTTGACTTTACCTTTTCAAAGTTCACTTTCCATTCAACACCCAATCAGTATCAGTGTAGTCTGAGGTCCAAATCTGCTTTGAATCATCATTATTTAAGAAAAAATATTTATGAAGTAGTTTGTCTGGCCTTTGCCTAGCTCTGTCATGATGAATAAATGGGAACTCTGTCAAAAGGTGAAAGTCTCAGTGTGACATGCTACTCTAAATGCTATATTGGTGGGTAAGCTTTTAGAAACATTGCTAATAGAGTCAGAAGTGGGCCTAACTCTATTGAAATTAATAGCTAAAATGCTTTTGAACATCAATAGAATGATTCTGCCAACAGTGAGCTTTTTAAAAACTGCATATTAATTCTTTTTTTAAAGGCAGGGTCTGCAAAAAGACCTTACAATGTGTCAGACTGTAGCCCCCAGCCTACAGACACTAACTTTAGAGGTAGTAAAAACTAATATGGATGGAACTATCTACTTATTTACCTGCAGTTAAGTAAAATCACCTCTTTTCTTGCATTACTGTGAAAGCAGAAAACCTGGAAAACTATAATTTATAACCCTCTGGCAAAGGTATACAGCATAGAGGCAATACATAGTGTTGAACTGTCCCTTAAAGACATTTGAGAGGGACACTCTAATGTTGTAATTAATTAAGTCTTTCAAATACCCAGATGTATAGATAAACAGTATGAAGATTATTAATCTCTGCTGCCATGTCTGTGGGTGAATTAATACTTTCCATCCTTTACTATGCAGACAGCTTGACCTTGATCTTATGAGTGTCTGTGCCTGTTGTACTTGAAGCTCTCCAGGCACCAAGATAGGAACATGAAGTGCAGCAGCAGTATTCATAGTCCGTGACCATTTAATCCAAACTGACTTTTTAGGTAGACAGCACACCCTCATTTTACAGACAGAGAAAGAAATACACACTCCTCACCTTTAAGCCATTAATAAAGCGTCAACATATTAGCATCACCCCACTGTTGTCAATGCTCAGCTATTATTCTCTAAATTCTGTAGATAATTTCTCTTAGCTTAAAACAGGTTTACATTTGCCTTTATAATTTTGTCATGTAACTGGGATCCCTATTTTTTACCATAAGCAACAAATATAAATGTCCACTCCTTGTGTTAATCCAACTGATGAATAAGAATTTGTTAGTCATTTACAAATCCTCAGACAAATCTGGCCTGACACAGAGGTAATTACAAAGAACAGGTGGACAACAGGAATGTCAGGAATCTGGGTGGTACATATCAAGTTAAGGCTGTACTTAACTTGGGCTTTTTGACTGGGAAAGGGAAAGACAGTCAAGAGTGGTATTAATATGCTACACTCCTTCACCCCTCCACTTCTGCAAGTGCAGTTTACTTTGTCAGTATGCAATATTTAGCTGAACACTTCATTTTCCTTAAAAAGTATAACTAGCATCTTAGCTGAAACCAAAAAACAACAGCAAACACAGAAGAAAAGGGCTAAGCATCTAATCTGAAAAATTCATTTGAAGATGGCAGCCTTGAGATTACTGGCTCCCCTTCACGTGGGCAATGACATCTATAAAAACTTTCTGTGTATCTCATGTTTCTCTTCAATTTATGTTATTAGCTAAGGCTAATCAAAGCCTTGGTCTTTCATGTGACTTATACTGATAGACATTACAGCAGCTCACAAGGCTACAGTCTCTGGGAAATACAGCAAACGAGACAGGAGCAGGATTAGAGAAAGGACATATTTTCACGAAATCAAATGCCAGTGTTTCATTATGTGTAGGTGGGGAAGAGAATGAATTAACTAGCTATGCTTCACAGTCATTAACCATTAGTATTCCTTCATGTAGCAACTCTAAGATACAAGAGGTAAAGTCTTACTGCACAATCATGATCTCTTAATTCACTGAAAAAAATACTTGGGCCATTCAGATGTATTACTTATTCTGCATGAGAAAGGAAGGTAAATTCTGGATCTAATTTCTTTGGACTACATTCAGCTAGAGTTATGTACATTGAACAATAGTAAAAAAAGAGATA